AGGCCTCCCCGCGCACCTGGGCCACCTCCCCTGGCGCGCGCGCTGCCCCCTCCGCCCGCTCCGTCCAAGGGCCGCACGCGTCCCAGCGCACGAGAGCGGCCAGGCCTGCCCGCCGCCCGCCCCTGTCCCTGTCCCCGTGCACCATTGCTCCCACCGTGCCACGGGGGCTGCGAGTCCTTTCGGACACTGCAGGACACTGCAGCTTGCATGTTTCTCTCTCACTCAACAGAAAGACAGAGGAAAATAATACACATTTACTGCCGCAGAGCTGCCTCCCCCCTGCACCACTGCTCCCACCGTGCCACGGGGGCTGCGAGTCCTTTCGGACACTGCAGGACACTGCAGCTTGCATGTTTCTCTCTCACTCAACAGAAAGACAGAGGAAAATAATACACATTTAGAAGGTAGATATTCTCACACTACTGATTTCATTTTTAATAAAACAACCACCAACACATCCTCAATTTCACAAGGTTAGCAAGCCCAACAGAGAAAGCACTGCACTCAACTGAAAAACGGCACATCCTAACCCATAAACAAGACAGTGCTAGTAGCATTTTCAGAAGAAAAAAATGTAAAAAAAGTCATATCCCAGCAGAGCACTGCCCTAATGCATTTAGCCTACGCTGTTCACAGCAGTGGGGTCACTTGCTTCACGCACATTTGGTGAAAACTTCACCTGTGTAACCGTACTAGAACCACGAGCAGGACGATGGGAGAGGCCTCTGCAGAACCCCCGGCATGAGGAGCGTCACCCATCCCGCGCGTGGGAGCAGAGACGGCCCCGGCACGAGGAGCGTCACCCGTCCCACAAGCAGGAGTGGTGGCAGCCCCGGCGCAGCTCCCCTGTCGCCCTTCCCACACATGGGAGCAGTGGTGGCCCCGGCGCAGCTTCCCCATTGCCCATCCCACATGCAGGAGCGGTGGCGGCCCCGGCGCAGCTCCCCCGTCGTCCTTCCCACACACGGGAGCAGCGGCGGGCCCCGGGCGGGGCCCCCCCCGACCCTCCCCCC